AATTAAGTTGTCACGTGGGAAAATGTGCCCACAATTGATTTGGGTTTTTCCGCAAAACGGTGATATTGGAAAACAAATATGTTTACAATCACGTACGACGCTTAACTGAAAATTTGCTGAAAACCAAAATCAATTGGCACATTTTGCCGCGTAACAACTTGATTTGTTTGGCTGTCGGGTAGTGGAGGGTACATTGGTTTAATTGACATTGTACCTCCATGATCTAATACAAATCATGGATCGTAATATTGATCTGAAAGTTTATTTATTAAACTACCGTAAATATAGATTTTAAACGAAATGTTACGAATGCGCTTTTGGTCACATTGTTATCCGACTTGGTGGCACTATTAGAAGCCTTGACTCACGAATCCTAAAATACAGGTCAGTGGTTATCTCCATTCGCCAGCATCGATTCGTTCAAATTAGTCTGGCTTTGCTCCTCTTTGCCTCCCAATTGTACAACTGTGTCATGCAATGAGAATAAGCATTCAATTAGTTATATATTATAAACTTCTCCATCGAACTGGAACCTCGATGTAAGGACCCCTGCAATATTGCCCATTAACCAGCATTGGTACAAATAAACCTGGCTGCCGAGCGCTCCAGTTTGCTTCTTGAAAGTGCTGCTGTAAGCACGCACTCCCAGAAGTCCGTACGACTGGTGGGTGTAAGAAAGTTTTTTTGGAGAAGGTTGCGATGGAGACATTTTCTAGGTTTTATTTCTCATGAAGAGAAGAACGTTGAGATCTTCAAATAAACATCTGGTCCTCACTAGGGGGCAGCACTTTCTCACCTGCCCCATATCGAATTGTGGTCACATGACAAAGCAATTGTATTTTTAATACCCAGAGCTCGTTTATCCAAATAAAGTGCAGAACCCGATGTTATGCGATGGGTATTTGTGTGCGCGTTAAGTCATTGGTAATGGAGTCAAGACCATCATCTCACTACACTTTAGAACGGTTGACATCACAGCCGTGTCTGGATTCTAGCTCAAGCTCAACTCAAGCAGCCCGGTGATCTCCTATGCTAGGGTTTTGTAAAGAATCAAGTTCTTAATCTCGCTCGTGACGACTAGAAATGACACGAGCGTCACAGGATTCTAACACCACGCACAGCAACGTCAACTCACCACAGCAGCAATTTGTGCAGCAGCATCGTCTTGCAGGTCCAACTGTATGCCATTCCCACACCTTAACAGCAACAATAAGATGGAAGTGTAACAGTTTATCCCTTGCCTTTAGGGCTGGGGCAGCACAATGCTTGTAAACATGTGCAATTTAAGTTCGAGGAAATTAATGAAAGGTTGACTGCAGCAAAGCATAAATACCATTTCATGGAGTGTATGCGTCCGATTGCTAAACTAGGCGTTTCACAAGCTGGGAAGCTAAAAAAGGCATTTAAGGAATTGAATCTCATGTAATTTATTTTGCACATGCGGCCGTGCTAAAAAGTATAAAAATACGAAGGTACCGTTCGTTACACCAGAGAACTACTGTGGACCAACAATTTCGCGTCAGACTTATCATCAGTTTAATAAACCGACAAACGCAAATCGGCATGCGCGCGTGGTGGTGGGGGATATTCCGTCAACGGTTTGCACAGGAGAATACAGCGCATTGAAAGGTATGAAGGGTAATCAGAAAGTGTCTGCGGCCTGACAGCAATGGTTCAACGCACGGTAAACTGAAAGTGGATGCATTAAATGCCACGGTCAAACCGAGCCAGCACCACGTGGTCTTGCAATGTACGCAATTACCTGGTACTGTGCATTCAGTATTACCAAACCTGCATTCCCAATTAGCAAATTCCATAGCTCGAGTTACCCCCAATTCTCAGCCACATTGGCCACCCCAAAGTTGTTTGAACCATGAGCCAATCCAAGTACGGCAGTTAAATCAACCTCTGTGCAACAATGTAGCAGATTGAAATGCTGATCCCAGATAACCTCGTTCACACTGGCACAATGGGTCACTAACATTTTAATTGCAATGGCTGATAAAACACACGAATCTCCAACTTTAACAGAAACATTTTTTATTACTCTTTAATAACAATGCAGGTTTCATAGCAGTTTAAGACGTACTCGTGCTACTCTGGGAGAAAAATAATAATTCAAGCAAATGGACTGCAATTTAAGGTCCAAGATTATTGAAACTTGCCAATCAACTCTTTAAGCATGACCAGGTTAAATTTTGATTTAAAGCTTTCGTGACTGCAGTAATTCATATTCTTAGTTTTTTCGGTAAAGTCACGTTGAAGAGAAACAACAAAATAACAAAATATATATAAAACAATAAAAAATTCTCACGACGTTTCGACCATAACTCAAACGGTCATCATCAGGTGTGTCGGTTTGCATAAATTTATTTTGAAAACGGCATATTTATTTATATATATAAAAATAACGTTTGCGTCACGCGCAACGATGGCAGTTTGCCAGGACTAGTCCATCTATTTTTTGAAAAGAGGAGGGGGGAGACGAAATTTGTTTTTATGTATGCTGTCTGAAAGGCACTGTAAGCGTGAACAATCAATCAAGAACTGAAATGATTTATCAAATCTTTCCAATGATTGCTAAGATAGAATCCATCTTCTCGGTTGAAATTGTCTCTGTTTGTATATGTGGATAGCCTCATGAACGAATCTCTCATGGAAGCCAGATGGCTTACAAAGAACCTCCGTCTTGGAAAAGTCAATGGTATGTGAGCCTACTGAATTAGAACAATGATCTGCTACGGCCGAGGTGTTGGTCCTACCGTGTTTAAGGTCTGCTTTATGTTCACGAATGCGGTCCGAGATATGGCGTTTGGTTTCTCCAATGTAACTACTACCACAGAGGCAACTTAGTTTGTAGACACCAGGGTATTGTATGTCCGGAATCACATCTTTTACAGACGGAACCAGATCACGGATTTTATGTAATGTGTTGAAACGGACCTGGATCTTGTGTTTATTCAAGATTTTGGAGATCTTTTTTGTGATCCCAGCAATGTAGGGTAAAGTGATGGTTTTGAAAGGCTCCTCAAGAGGGTTCTTCTTCATGGTTTGAGTGATAGCTTTGCGGATTGTATAGTCGGAGTAACCATTAGCCCTAAGAGCTTGGTGTACGTGCTTGAGTTCACTGCTTATGTGTTCCTGGTCGGATATGCATTGGGCTCTATGATACAGAGTCTTGATGAGAGAATTCTTCTGTGATGGATGGTGGTGGGAATCCGGTTTCAGATAAGCATCCGTATGGGTAGCTTTCCTGTAGACAGAGTGGCTCATTGAACCATCAGGTCTCTTTTTAATTAGGACATCCAAAAAAGTTATCTTGCCATCTATTTCGACTTCCATGGTAAATCTGATGGCTGGGTGTATGGAATTGATGTGGTCGAAGAATTTGTCTAGAGCAGGCCGGCCATGTGGCCAGATGACAAAAGTGTCATCCACGTACCTCTTCCATAAGGTTGGGCGCAGAGTGGCAGTCTGGATGGCGTCAGTCTCAAATTTCTCCATGAAAATGTTAGCTATAACTGGAGAAAGGGGGGAGCCCATTGGGGTGCCCTCAGTTTGTTTGTAGAAAGTTCCATTCCAAGTGAAGTATGTATTGGTTAAACAGTGTCTCACCAGGGGGGGTACCTCAGTGTTTAGTCCTTGATGAACCAAGTCTTCAATGATTGCAATGGTGTCAGGTACAGGAACCTTGGTGAATAAGGAAACTACATCAAAACTGACAAGCAGGTCGTCTGGGGACAGGGAAATACCCTTGATTGTTGATACCAGGTGAGTAGAATTTTGTACCGCAGAGGTGGTCTTTCCAGTGAAAGGACGCAGGATTTCAGACAAAAAACGAGCTAGTTTGTAGGTGGGGGAGCTGATAGTAGAGACTATGGGACGAAGAGGTGTATCAACTTTATGTATTTTTGGTAAGCCGTATAATCTTGGTGGCCTGGCAGCAGAAGGTTTCAACGAAAACTGTTTAGATTGATCAATTAATGCGGTTGAATCAGAAATTATTTTGTTGGTTTGTGTGACGAGGCTGTTGGTGGGATCTCTTTTTATTTTTGTATAACTACCATCGTCGAGTAATTTTTTAATTTTGTTGTTGTATTCTATTTTATCCATGATAACAGTAGCATTGCCTTTGTCAGCTGAGAGAACTACAATATCATTCCTCTTTTTTAATTTATATAATTCAAAACGCTCATCTTTGCTGAGGTTGCTAGCTGGCATCTTAGCGTTTTTGAGGGTTGCAGCGATTTCAGATCTTGCTACGTCTGCAGCGATGTGACCCAGGCCCCTGAGAGCAACGTCTACTTGGGCAATTATGGACTAGTCCTGGCAAACTGCCATCGTTGCGCGTGACGCAAACGTTATTTTTATATATATAAATAAATATGCCGTTTTCAAAATAAATTTATGCAAACCGACACACCTGATGATGACCGTTTGAGTTATGGTCGAAACGTCGTGAGAATTTTTTATTGTTTTATATATATTTTGTTATTTTGTTGTTTCTCTTCAACGTGACTTTACCGAAAAAACTAAGAACATGACCAGGTTGTTTCGGGGGTTCGCTTGTGCGATTTCTTATGAGGCCAACCAATTTGTACCCAAAAATTTCCCTGGGCCCCCTTTTGCTAAACGTGTTGAGGGCTCCTGGAATTCCAATTCACTGTCTAACGTGGTGTTGACCTCACCTGGCGGGTCGTGCACATCACGCACCTTCCAGTAATATTTAAATCAAAGGACTTGCAATTTTCAAAAGGTTGAGGCTTGAATCTAAAAATTTGATGTTTGTTAAATCGAACTTTTTTAAAGAAAGGGTTTCCCTAGGTTCGTTTTCTGCAATGTCGCTTACATGCGGCCATCCTACTTCTACAAAGCGCTACGCAGTTTCAAGTCGCTCATTTTGGCTATACGGTCAGACGTGGGGCATTGTACTTGGCAGGCAACCGGCGTGTGGGTTTCACTGTGCATCATGTGAGAGAAAAGCATTAAGCAAAAGAGGCTTGACATAGAAATTTTATATTAAAGGAAAAAAAAATTATACCCACACACAAACCGTCTAAATCGGATTTCCAGATGGGGAAAAAGATGTAGGATGTGGCAATTAAATTTAAGAATTAAAGCAAAAAACCCAAGGCTTTAGTATTTGGTGTTAAGCCCCGTTTTTATTAGCAGTCGCCAACACTCAAACGGTCATACCACCCAGATTTCTTTGTAATGTTAAAAAAGCAACCTTTTCCAGCTAGGTGGGATCCTCCATCCGCAACCCATGTGCCATCAACTTTTAGTAACATTCACATCCAAGCTAACCACAAGATTGCCACAACAGCCAATTAAGCCGGGTCCAAATCAGACCCGCTTTAAAACCTTGTCAGACAGCCCCGAGACAAAAAGGGGAACACAGGACAATGGTCCTCCTTGGAGACCGATCCAAGTGCAGGTATCACGTGCTATACTTCCCACCCCTCAGAAAACCAAATCACCAAGGTCGAGATGGCAGATGGGTCATGCGAGGTGGGCAAGGCCTCTTACCTCGCTCACCCTTTCCCTTACTTCCAGCAGCTAAAGGGTGGGGAGGGTAGGGAGCAGGAGGTATAAATTTTCCTGCATCAACTAGAATAGTTCTCACCAAGGTCATGGGTTGGCCAAGAATGCTGGCAAAATCGATTTTACTCCAGGGAGGCACTATCATTTACCACTCCTTTCCAAACCCTTTAATATTTTTCAATTTATAACCTCATGCTATGCAGCATTTCTATCGTGCATGCACAATGCCCATATAAAAATGGCGGACTGGCAGACCCCAGGCTGATCATGGGGGTGGAGGGATTTTTTGGCGATACACAGTGCAGCATTACATCACAAAATGATTTTACCACGTGCGTTCCTAGATAGTGGACAATTATTATTATGCCATAAAAAGCCTATGCAAAACATTACGATCGATGTTCTCCAATGAGTGATGTATATGCAAAAGGACACGTAATGTGGCATCTTATAACTGGGGCGGATTCCTGTAGTTTTGGGTGTACTGCACAACAGAATGTAGTTCGTGATGAAGCGAGAGGGGGCCGGCAACCACCGCATCAAATCACCAGTGGTGTTCATAATAGTTAAATGCACATTTGAGCGTTCAAAGCCATAATGGAATACTAATTATACATTTCAAAAGGTGATCGGTTTTCAATGGCAGACATTTAGGTCACACCAGGACAAATATATTCAGGGATAAGTAGATCCCCACACCTTTTCTGTGCAGTGCTCCATGGCCTACGGAAAACGACAGAAATAACGAAATGCATGAGTCATCAACAAAGTGGCTACAATGTCACGTGAACTACAGAGCACAGGTCAGAGTGGATCCCCCCCCCCCAAGCCAGCGATGGAAATTATGTTCCTAAGACAGGAATTGAATAAAATTAAAAGATACCTGATAAAATAGAAACATTTAATTGTTATAGATTAGCTTACGTTGGCAATGCAAATGGAACAAAACCTGACAAACGCCAACGTGGTGTGATATTGCGACAGAGGAACAAACACATTGGTTAGAATGTGTGCAAGTTGGATACATTCACTGGTAAGAGTACGTGCTCTTGAGCAGGACACATGCCTCACACGGGATTATAGCCGGTAGTCAAGTCGAGCAAAGAGGCAATGGGCCCATGAGGATGTCAACTGCCAGAACTGGAGCCAAAAAGGCAACTGATAAGACTGGATGGGGTTGAGGATCGCCTTCATCTAAGAGTGAACAAATTCTGGCCTATGATAAGTGAACAGCAAAAGCCAAGCATCCAAGTGCCAGCTTTATCAACCCTCGCATGAACTGCACCACTTACATTGCAGATGTTGGCGGTGTCTGTGGACCGACACCAGTAGGAGGGCCCCTGCAGGCAATGTAAGGGCAGCACCATAGCCACCATCTGGCTCACCATATCCACAATAGAGTATTCCTGCACAGGAGATTTAAACAATTTAAATACAGTTGTATACAAAAGGGTGAACTACCAAGTAAGGACCGATCTCAAAACCCAGGCTTACGGAGCCTGGATATTGCTTGAGGGTAAATACTGTGCATAATTGTGTGTTCTAGGCTGCAGGGCTATATTGTGGGCAGCAGAGGTCACACCGGAAAGCAACATGCATTCTTCCACCACCTTCAAAACCGCACTGACCAACAGTGAAGTCTGGTCAAATATCCCTCATGGCCCACAAGGCATGGGGTAAGGTCCTCATCCAGCTGCGGATTAACAAATGGCTTGCAAGATCCTACGATGTTAGTCAAAGAACAGAAAACCACGCAAAAAGGCACCACAGGCTCCAAAGTTGCTCACAAATGAAGCGAGTAAATTACACAGCAACGTTGTTCCTCATTGCAAAAACTGCAGACAATTTTAAACGTCTTCGCGATAGCCTTGCGCAACAAGAACGGTGCTAATACTGAATGCATGAAGGATTTGGAAATGCAAATTATGGGTGTATGCAAATAATATAACCTTCTGCAGCGAGTTCATTGGGGTCCAGTCAGCCAAGACAAGGTTCTCCTGGGCTGGGAAGACCAGATTCAGGAGCGAGAGGCTCAGGGCTTTCTCCAGAGTGCGACACGCATGGCACATGGGGTCATCTGCCAAGGCAAACGTCACAAGGTTTATGCGCTTCATGGTTCCCTGCAGAGAGCACCATCATTAACACTGGGTTGAACGGCTGTCGTTCTCACGCTCCAACAGGGCAGGTTTCCCCATCTGTTGTCTAGTGCTGTGCACTCCTTTTTAGATTTGCAGCGTGTAGGTCTTGAGCATTACATGTAGGTAGGACGTCTTTCGTCACACCATACGTAGCCACCTGTGCTAACCGAAGGTGCTGGGGAAAGGCAAACTTTACACAAAGCGCAGTTCTAAATTAGTTTTCAATCTAGATATAAAATGCGCATACATAGCTCCTGTGGCTTCCTACCATCGGAAGAATATTCCAGACGGCCGCAGACACGCACCTGAAACCACACCATGCGGTGACCGTCTGTTCGATGGCAAGCCAAAAGCTGTTGTGAGGCCAACTGCAGTTCGTGTGATGCTTTATATGCTCCTTGACAAAAATGTAGAGACCATTTGCAGATCATGGACAAAATGCATTTAGTTTTGGCCAAATAGGGTAAATGGATTCAGCCCAAAGCAGTTGTGTCCCAAGTTGTGGAAGTACGCTTTGGAAGGAAATCTCAGAAAATGCACATGCTTTAATGGGTTAAAGTAAAAACACTATTTAACGAAATGTTTGAATATTAAAAAAATCACCCATGTATATATTTAAATTACATCTCTTTGGAGAACAGGCAAGACTCATGATGCTAGAAGGCTATTTTTCAAGGGCAACCTGGGTAAAGTAAAAAAATGCTGTGGTTCTCCAACAGCAACCAAGACGGCACCATCATGCAGCACAGACAATGGGGCAACGTAGAAATCCAATGCTCAGTGGCACTGCAAAGCCGACAAGTGCTCACCAGGCAGTCTCCTGGGGGGTGAATTCGTATTACTCATTTATCAGTCAACAGCTGGCACCCACAGTTACTCAAGGATGCAAATCAGCCAATCAATGTATGCCTTGAACCACATTTCATTTACATTGAACCAACTACTGTATGAAAGATGCCAATATCATTGACATGAACAAAAACAAGGAGAAGGTACAACTTCTTAGCTTGGTGTTCTTGGAGGCTACATGCAGTGGGTGCTAAAATGTCACAGGCTTGCCGATGACTGTTGGGATAGACCGAGAGGTATTAAATTTGAATTAAAAAGACATGACACTGAATCTTGTTATATTACCTTGGGGGAAATGCTCTTAGTGTGCACACCCAACATGAAGGGTAGTGTAGCCAGTGCTAGTCTCATTTGGTATTGATGCAGAAGGCAATAGATGGCCTACCTGATTAGGGAAAGTTAACTAAAACCAAAAATTGTATTTTACCAGGTAGAGTCCACCGAGCTACACTGCTCTATTTCATAAGCGACTTGTCCAGATGATTTAACGAAGTGGCTTATCACGTGGAAACACAGCAGCCAAATACTTTTAAACGCATGTCGATTCTAAAATGTGGAGGGGAAACCCCCAGAAGACCCAGAGAAAAAACCACGTGACCACGGGGAGAACATGCAAACTCCAAATATACAAGCAGGCATCAGGGTCAGAATCGAACCCACGACCTCCTGTATACCAGGCTAGGTAGTTAACGTCATCATAATGGCACCCTCAAAAGCAAGATGAAGCCAAGGCCATGTTGATAAAGCCATTGCCGTCGGTGGGGTGGAATGTCAAGAATAAAAAACTGTAGTTGCCTGGAATATTAAAATAGTGTGCGAAGCACCGTCAATGGCTTACACAGCATAAAGTTACAGTAATAACAAGGTTACATGTCAATAAATGAACTGCACTGCATATTTTCAGTACCCAAGTCTTGGCAGGAGGGCATCTCGTTGCAAGCAAACCCAATCTGAAAATAAACCACAAACGGCCAATTTAGTTGGCGTGTCATTTCATAGCCGAAACTTATTTTGCTCAACATGATAGCTGTATTTAAACCAGCATTTATGCAATCATTTGCACGTTTAAACCCACGCACTTCCAAGTCACTGGAACAGCATTGCAGATTTGGAACAAAATCTGCAGCGCGTTGCAAGGTGAGAAGACTAAAATTTAACGTTGTACCCCTTGCTTTGAAGGGCACCACCTCAACGCCTTGCAGACTTTATCCGGCACCTGCGTCGCACAGAAAAATAGCAAACACGCATCCCAAACATGGTACTTTAAATGAATGGCAAAAAAGCTAAAGGGATGCCTCATCTGGGGATACAAGAGTGCGCCGGGTCATCTTGCGTTGCCTCGATGGTTGATTCTCAACCGCAGGTCACAGCAACTTTGCACACGCATTTCCTCACCACAAGTGTGGGACAGACCAAATGGCAAATTAATTATGCACAACTCAATTGTTGAAATAAGTTCCTACGAGGCATCCTTTGCCGAGGATATGTATTGTAAAGCAAGCCAAATGTAACCGTTACAATGAGCTTAAAAATGGCATTAGGTGGTTAAAACCCTCATATTTAAAATTAAGGTAGAGGTTTCAGTTACCAGTGCAAATTAAGATACCACTTAAGTTTAATCCAGGATTTTGCAAGAATGGAAAACTTTGAGCTCCACATTGGATCGTAGCCTTCATCTCGTCAGCACGTCCATTTGAGGGCAATGCAAGGGAGATGAGCAGTATATGTACAGACAGTGCAGAAAGCAGGTGAAGATTCCAAAGGGGAAAATTGTGTAAAAACAAGGATAACAAAAACACAAGTAGAACCAGTGGCCACAATTGGGGAGGCATTGCATACCTTTTCAGGTTCTGCAATTCGAAAAATTAAGTGCAATAATTGTAGATGGCCTAATGGTCAGAAAGTGTTGCATTAGTAAAGCCCACTCCAGTCTATATTGCAAGTAAAGCACAACACTGAGGAAAATAATTCCATGACAAAGTAGCGCTTGGGATCATTTGACTTAAAGAACAGATTGTTGGGCAAGGCCTATCGGAGAGATGCAATACAGTAGTCCCTTAAGTGACAGTTAACGGTTTTTCGGGTCACGATTCCCATAGGATCCCATTGTTTTGACTAACGTTGACATTTTGATTAAAATGTTTATGTTATGCACGTGGGTGCCAATCTCGGTCAATCCGAGTGCTTAAGAGGACCGAGCATGCCTCAGCCAATCATTGATGCCCATTTAGACCTCGACTGGGCTTCCTTACATTATGGTTCTGTTTTGGACAATGGAAACAATTATTTTTCAATTCGTAAGTGAAAGCAATTAATAGTGCCGTGGAACGGATTAAAAACGTTAACCGAGGGACTACTGTATGTAGTACCTTTGACAGTCACCTGTCAGAGTGCCAACTTTAGGGAGTACTGTAAGAATATTCCTTCACTTTGGGTTACACGGCAGAACAAGCTGAAATTGATAAAACTACGCAAGATAGACCAAAAGTAAATCAAGACACATTAAATAGTGCATTTACCATGTGCATCATCTTCAGAAGTATTTAATTCCCAGTATGGCAGCCGACAGGTAGCTTGGCGGGGCCAAACAACTTGGTATATTATGGTTTATGCCAATTTCATGGATTGGTCCGGTTTTTAATATGGCAGGGCCCTATTAGGAGTAACTGTATACCTTAAGTGGTTTTATAATTGGGTCGCTTTACGAGCATCCATTCTATTATGGATGGACAGAGCAAATGCACAAAAGATTGAGTTTAATTGGAAGGTTAGTATCAAAAGCAATTAAAGGTCAAGGACTTTTAAAAAGACCAAGTCTCCAGAAGATACATAAATTATGCAGTCCCCTCCACTCGCACACCATCTCATTAGCCATGTCTGTTAGACGACGTAGATCACGATATGGAAAGAGGGGAGGAACATCACACAAATGCATCATGATGTAACAAGATGTGGGATTTAACGTCCCAGGACAAGACATCCCAGGACGGCTACCTCAAAAAGGAGAGATCGTCAAGGAAAAGCACAACAGGTAGCAACCCTAATATGCCACTGAAGATTCAGCCGATCCATCTGTACCAGGTTTTTGTCGATGTAGTTGAAGAGCACGGGCAGGTACTTGTCGGCAAGGCGCTTGCATTTGTTTGCAAGTGGCTGGAAGGTCATCATCTTGCAGACAGCATCGACGTATCCACCAATGTCCTTCTGCGAGAGAGAATTCGATAGTATGCCAAGTCCATTTCCCCTGGTTTGCCCCACAGCAGAATTGGCAGCAAGCCAATATTCATCAGGAAATGCATGCTTTCTTAACCATATTTCACCATGCTGGTTAGTGCGGGAATAGAACCGAGGGTAAGCTGGATTCATAGCAGTATTACTGGACCTTATCCAGCACACTTTAATTATTACTCAGCCACTAGGCTGCGATTTGGATTAATGCCACAAGATTTTTGCCGAGCCTGATTTTCAAAAAACAGGTACCAGCCCATTTTAAGATGCTTGGAGCCACCCAGTTAATTGCAAATAAAAAAAAACCTCCCAAACAATAAATTTTACCTTCGTGGCAGGATCAGTCAATGTGTCATGAACCGCTGCCACTACATTCTTGCACAGCTTGCATGTCACGTTCAGCTGCCAAGACAGAACGCAAGTCATCCTTCTCACGTGCCTGCAAACCGTGCCAAGCATTAACACTGCAATTATTTTTTCCCAGTGTTGCTTTTCAAGCAATGAATCCATAGTACAGTAAAGCCATTATTTCGGTATGAGAATTCGTAATTGGGGACAATTTGGCTTGGTTGTGCTTTTTGCATATATATACAGTATTAGCAATTTGCCATACTGAATGGTCCAATGTCACGGCATTGATGTAGAGCAACGCCACGCACCACAACCAAAGCAATGACTCTGTCTAGTGGCGGCGCGTATGGCAAGCGTGAGCGCAAACCTGTTGCTTTGGACTCGACCTTGATTGTGCACTGCAAGCAAACCCTCAGAAAATGTTGCTTACAACCATAAAGTAAGAGAAAGGGACACGTATAAATTCCTTAGCCTGCGAGACAAATGCAAAGTTCTGGATAGAATTGATGCAGGTGCGTCAATAGCTTTGGAAAACAAATTTGGATTTTTTTTTTTATATATAGGGGCAGGAGGCACTTGGGAGTGCCAGTATACATAATATAGAATATTGGATAATTTGGCAAAGCCAGAGTCCCATGTGTCGAATTGACAAGGGTTTAGTGTATGTGCAATGTAGGTCACACGGTATCGGGCCAACAGAGCAACTATAACATTGTAAATTCTGTTCAATTATGCTCGGTGGCATCAGTAAATAAACATTGCCAAATCCACACAGTACTGGATGGTGATGCTCATCCAGCCGGGCATTTACACGGTCTAACTTTAGGAGAAATTAATTAATCTTAACACCAGTTCTTAAATTAATAAAATTTAGCTACATTAGGTTTTACCCTCTACGCAGTCAACCGTCGTAATTATGAAGTCAGAACTGCAATCAAGATTATTTTGCCTCATTCCAACGGCAATGAATTGCGTTCAACCCTCTGGACGCATTGCGAGAGCATGGGTGCATTTTATTTGATGAACTAATAAACGACGAGAGGGCTACACGTATCAAATTAAGGAAAAGCAGCACTGGACTGTCCACAACCGTGTGAATTATTCTCACCTCTTTGAGCTGTGGGATTGGGGTACCTCGCAGAGCCAGTTCACCATCCGTGCTGCATAGGTACAGGGTACTGCACGCTTTCTTGGGATCAGCCTGTAAGCAGACAGCATGCCCCACAGCAGCATTTACTTGTGCGCACGTGTTGCTGGGATTGCACATGCCTTTAATGAAAGGCGTGCTTACATGGAGAGTTGACATCTAGTCAAGTTAAATATTTTGATTCTGCAAGTGGCTGGGCAGATAAGTGGATCATGGCCCACATGGAAGTCCTTGAGGCGTCTACAAGCTGAAATGAGCATTGGGCAATTTCTCATCTCTTGGCAGCCACAAACCAGTTGTGGAAATTTCTAATTTGTATGGTAAATGTCAGGATAGAGTCATGGTGTAATGGTTCGTGTACTGCAAATTAACCTGCCGACCAAGTTTGATGTGCAATGTCTGAATTACAATCTCACTGGTAAGACCACCTCTGTTGTACTCAGCTCACTTGGTATTGTCAATTAAGGACATATCACCATTTCCAGGTGATTTGCTCATTAGTTTCAATGTAGTCTTTGTTTACCAAATTTCCTGTTAACATTCCAATCATTGCCCATTTAGTCCAAAGACCGAATGGTGATGTACCGGCCTTGGGTGAGACTGCCTCAAAACACACACACCTCACTTGGAATGGAACACATTCTGCAAACAAGTTGAAGGCACCCCAATGGGTTTTCCCCATTGCCAGTGTTTATGGAAAAATTGAAGACGATGCCAGAGGCATCCACTCTACGTCCGTCCTTGTGGAAGAGACGCCGAACGTGTCATCTACGCATCTGGCCACATGGCCGACCAGCTCCGAACCAATTTCTCAACCACATCAATTCCATATACTCCACCATGAAATTCACCATGGAGGTGGAAAAGGATGGCAAGCCACCATTCTTGGATATTTATATCGAGAGACCAGATAGCTCAAATGGGACACAGTATGGGTTGCTTTCCTGTAGACAGATGCCTACCTAAAACCCGACTCCCACCAATCATCCCAGAAGCTCAAACCTCGATACCAGAGTGCAATGTATTTTTGACCATCAGGAAACACGTGCACCAAGCTCTTAAGATGAAAGGATAGTCAGACCAATCTGTAAAGCTATCACCAACTATTGGGAAAGAACCATCTGAAGACTCAATCAAAACCACATAGGGGTAAAAAAATGATTTCCAAAATCATGAGCAAACAAGATCCAGGTTCGAGTTCACACGGTACATAAAATTCGTGATGAGATTCCATTTGTGAAGGCTATGATCCCTGACATGCAATACCCCTGCATCAAACAAAGCTGTGTCTGCAGCAGTAGTTACATTGGGGAAACTAAGTAACAGGTCTCGGGCCATGTTAATGAGCACAAGGCAGATCTGAAATACGGTAGAACCAATACTTCGGCCAAGGCTGATCATTGTTTTAATGCAGTTGGATTACACGAAATTGATTTCTCCAAGATGAAGGTACTTTGCAAGTCCACTGGCTATCAAAGATTCGTTCAGGAAGTCATCCATATTATACAGACAATGGCAACCGAAAGGATGGGTACAAACTCCGCAATCACTGGAAGGACGTTAATCAGATTACATCATAACCGGCTATGTTTCCATTTTAGCACTGGCTGTTGCTTAGTTTTTGAATCCTTCGCATTAACACAAGCTCCTCTGCTCATTGCTCCCCCCAGGGCTCTTGTGCCCCACCCATTGGTCTGAAACTTGGGCTACAGCCATTTTTAAACTTTTGTAAACAGTTTGTTTTTGGAGGCCAACCCCTTTTTTCACCTGACCGCTCGTGATAGAAACGGCGTTTTTTTAACCAAAAGACCCAAAGACTAGTGCAAAGAAACCGAGCTACTGAAGCAATAAAGAGGCAGCAGAACAAGTTGTGCAGCAATCATTAAACCAGTGGTATCCCACCAAGGGGTCATTGAAATCCCAGTTTGCATCATGTGTAGCTCGTGTATGCAACATTGCCTACCAGGAGGCCCTTTAGATAAGAGAACACCTTGGGCAAGAACTCTTCGACAGCCTCGTGGCAGTCTGCACGTAGAGTGCTAAACACCAACAGCTCACACACCATGTCCAGGTCGTTCTTCACGTCAGCCTGAACATATAAAATGCAGTTGTTAACAACCGGGCAATGGAAAAAACACGATTGAAAAAAATAATGGGCGACTAGAGTGTTAAGTAAATGCATAAAAGCGTTGGAGTCTGTAGTTTTATGAAACAATGTTTAGTTAGACTGCAGGAGGAAGAGCTATTAAGCTCTTTTTGCACAGAGGCCCAGTAGGGGGTGGGTCAAACAATATAAAAACACAATAGCAGTCCAAAATAGAATGGGAAGCAAGTCACCGAATACAAAACGATTTATGTACATAATCAAGCCAAGGATGGCTTTTGTATGTGTAGTGGGTTCACTTGAGACACGGATTCAGTAGGCAACACCATTTATTCTGTAATCACAATGGGGTAACTACACAAATGGGTCAGGTTCATCGGCACACTGCCCGACACACAATGCCAAGCAGACCAAAGACAAAATGTAGCACGGTGGGTTCTATTCCAGCAAACAGCCATGATGCAGCCCCCGGACCTCCCCTTTTATGCCCCTCAGCCAGAACCTACTAGAAGGTTCTGGATCACTTTCCACGTGTCTCCTGCCTGGCTCTGCCTTCGTCCACCACCACCCCCCCCCCCCCCCCCCCTTTCTGGAACTCGCTGGATGGTTCTGGGCCCGACAACACGTGTCCCCTCTCACCTTTGGCTTACATCCCACCACATGCTGCCGGCCAAGTGGGATACTTTAGCCTCAATTGCCCCCTACTATGCCAGTCCCAGAGACCTCTTCCATGCCATCACTCTGCTGGCAGAGAGCTACCATACCCAATATTCCTGTTGATGGCATCAGGTGCTGTTGTGACCCATTATACGTCACTACATATGTAAACGACTACATTTTGCCTTTTAAGTCACATATCAGGCAACAGACTGCATCATATTACCGTCAACTCCCGACTACTATCACACCTATAGCATGATATCATTATGAAAGCAGACCTAAAAGTGTTAGTCATGGGTGTTTGACCATAAGCCAGTTGGTGTGGGTTGGTGAAAGGGAACAAGGGGGTGGAGGTTTTACTGCAGACAAATGCACAGAAATGGATAAGTGGTACAGTGGGAAGTATGGACAACCTGGCATATGCAGCAGAGTTTGATTTCCCCCCTCTACATTTGAGTGCAGCAACTGCATGAGAGTACAGACACTTCAGGTCCACGACGGATGTGGAAACAGAGGTACCACGGTGGTGTCAGAAAGCTTCCAGGCGATGTATTTAGCGGACAGACGGAGGCTTATGATAATGCACAACTACCTTTTTGCCTTTATGAGACCTCCTTTGCCAGTAGCAAGTTGTAGTAATAGGTTTACCCTTTTATCTGGCACCAAAACTGGCACCTTTATACAAGGGATCATATGTTTGTATTAACCACAACAAGCAGTCAAAATGCAAACAAAGAGAACTGATAATGATATGCACTGTCCTTGAAATTGAGCCTAGTCCCCACTGGTGTTGGACAACCCAAACAGCACACTTAGTGTATTCTGATAGTGCACTGTTTGAGTTGTACGCCTTTTGGCGTCATTTGGTCCAACACCACCAGTGGAGACTAGGCTCTAAGAAAAGCCGTCTCGGGTGTGGACCAATCAATTTCAAGGACAGTGCATATCATTATCAGAGGTCTTTGTTTGCATTTTGATTGCTTGGTGTTGCGGTTATAGCAAACATGATCCCTTGTAAAGGTGTCAGTTTGTGTGCCAGATAAAAACCTATTACTACCTTTTTGCTGTTACCACAAACTACAATTATGTAACAGGGCGCAGTGTAGAAAATGTAGCAATTAACGTGTTTGTCTCTTCACATGGAAAATTGATGGGTTAACTTACCTGTCCACCTCAAACACTGTTAATGAAATAAGTATTACGTTGGGAAAACCAGACTGGATGTTTGCTGGTGGAATCGCATGAAAAAAACTGCTTTTGCAATGCAATAAATTTATCAATCCAAAACAATGTTAAGCCACTTGGGGGTGGGAAAGTAAAATGGACTAAAACAGGGGGGGGGGGGGGGGGGGGGGGGTGGTGCACAGCTCTCATTCTTATGCCATGAAATAAATTATGTTCCAACAGTAAAAAAGCCTTTGCAGCGACAACTCATTAATTTCCACTAACAATGTTCACAAGGTGTTACCGTTTTACAGACCACAAAAGGATACGCATCCGTCTCAACCTGGCTAGGATTTTACTCAGGCTTGCAATCAAAATCCAGAGTAGCCACATCCTTCAGGGCTTTTGAAAGCACACATTTCCATCAACTATCAATTTGGAATCCTTACCATCAACCTAGAGAAAGTACATCCAGTTTTGTCTGAAAGAAATGGATTCGCTTGTGTGCAACATTTTATGAATAGGGTCATTCCGTCAAATAAGCAATGCATTACAATACAAAGTATGAACACATTGAAGCAAGTCATTTGAAAGGAACTGCCAAAGTACTGACATTACATAAAAGGTGTATTTGAACTTGATAAAAAAGCATTCCATGGTGTACCAAAACACGTGATCAAGCACATTTGGCAGCAACATCTGATGACACTTTACGAGACTTCCTTTGCCAGAAACAAGATATAGGAATAGGTTTTACCCTTTTAACTGGCACAAAAACTGACACCTTTATTCAAGGCATCATGTTTGCAATAACCACAACACAAGCAAAGGAGGTCTCACAAAGGAGGTCTCATAATGTAAATGCTCACCCCGAGCCCTCAATACTCTGATAGTGCGCTGTTTTTGAGTTGTACGCCTTTTGGCGTCTTCTGGTCCAACACCAATGGAGACTAGGCTCTAAGAAAAGCTGTCTCGGGTGTGGACCAATCAAATTCAAGGACAGTGCATATTATTATCAGAGTTGTCTTTTTTGTTTGCATTTTGACTGCTTGTGTTGTGGTTATTGCAAACATGATGCCTTGAATAAAAGGTGTCAGTTTTTGTGCCAGTTAAAAAGGGTAAAACCTATTCCTATCTGATGACACTGTACAATTTCCACAAACCCTGCAAACCTCAGAAAACAAGCCTCGATCTACTCCTTATGAACTTGGTCACTCTAAACCACAAGGAAAGTTGAAATGCAATGAGGCAGCAGACTAAATGGGGTAGGTAGCTTCCAATCAACACAGACAGGACAGCTTGAAATCTTGGGAGGGCATTTGCATAAAATTACTCATTGTTTTTTTTCGAAAAAAACGAGTAATTTTATGCAGTCACGAAAGCTTTAATACTTCAGATAAATTAGTTTTTCCCCTCCACAAGTTCAAAAGAACAGTAAATAAATTGACTGCAATTATTTAAGTGTAGCAAACAATTAGGTTTACCCTCTGTATCAAGACGGTACATGGTTGCCACTTGCTGGGTTCTGCTTAATGGTGCCGTTGGGCTCCATGTGCAGACTGCTTTTGACTTTCAAGACCAAGGAGCCCATGAGCAGTTTTTAAACAAGCAACACCCAGATACTTGAACAAGTGGGGTCTGGACAGATGCTGGCAAAAACCTTCAGATTGCTTTTCTGGCAAGTCGTATTGCATTGACCGAGCGACTGGCAATAATGGACTGCACGTAGGAAGGACTAGATGACCAGTTGACCGTTAACTAGTGAGGAGCACGAGGATAGACACACCATCCCTAATCAACTAGAGCAGGGGTGAGTCAAAACGTACCCATGAGTTTTGCTAAGAGCAGAGTATATAGCGATGGTTCTCAGCATAGCACGGGAGACATTCATGGTTTGCCGTTGTAGCACGTTCTACATTATTCCCCTTTGATAGAGCCGCATGTAATGGAGCCACATGTAATGGAGCCACATGTAGTGGATTAAAGAGCCGCATGTAGTGGAGCCACGTGTAGTGGATTAGAGCCGCATGTAGTGGAGCCGCATGTAGTGGATTAAAGAGCCGCATGTGGCTCAGGATATGCCAGTTGGCCACCGCTGAACTAGTAACTAATATACTTGGCCTATCCGATCATGAATAAAAAATTACATTTACGGTCGTATAAAATCATTGTTCAGCATACACACTTCGTTAAAAGAAAAACCTACTTTCCCCATGAGCACACAGTTGCCAGTGGGCTCATGGGGAATGCATTACTGCCAACGATCTTCCCGAAGTTGCCCGAGTAGTATAAAATGGTTGTTTTTTTTTCCATGTGGATGAGATAACAAACCTGGGTTTTAGGGTCTTTCAAAATGCTGTCGAGGGAAACCATGAACGCTTCACAGAACTCGCACACGAATCCATTCTGTGGACAAACACAAAATTGGTTGCAATATTTCCAGAATACCTTCACTGGGGCATACAATGAAAATATTTTAAAGACACGGGCATTGAAATAAAAGCAGACTTCTAATAACTTTTAAAAATCCTTTGTACATTTATAGGTAGAATAACAATCAGTATTGTGACCCAAATACTTACTAGGAAGCCAACATCGAAGAGAAATACACAAGTGGCCCAGGCCCAATCAAGGAAATATAGTACCAGGGTATTACTTGACATGTCAGATTCTGGGTTGAAGGCTCATGTCAAATGATAAAAGTTTGGCAAGATTGAAAGCTAGAGTTTTTGTTACCAATAAACTTCTCACTTACCAATTTCATTCAACCCACTGGAGAGGCTGCTGCAAATTCATACTCCGGTCCCTCTAGACTTATTTAATTCGTCTCAGGTTCATGCAGGCACATGGTGCTGTGCGAGAGTATTCATCGCGCATCAAAGTTCCAAACCAGGTGTCGAGTCAGCTAATCATCTCTCCAGGGGTGAGCAAGGGAATAGAGGCTTGTGGAAAAAGCAGGATTGCATGTTTTGCAGTAACTACCCCAATACCATAGGAATGTACAATTTCCATCACTGGTTTAGGATCAATGGAGAATAGTAGCGCAAAGTCCTTTGAACGTGGCAATAAACTTCATATGCATACTCAGCTGCGAATAGCATGGTCGGCTAAAAAGTGTGAAAGGAGTTCATACACGTATGCAACCGACAGAAACAATAGAGGAATCCATAGCTTTGGCAATTGTTCGCACAACCTCACCACATAGCCGCTTACCAAGCGCGCTTGTGGTTCCTCGGCACCGAGATGCACTTGGCATGGACATGATAAAAGATGGAAGTTTATTATCAAAGCAGTATTACAATTTTAACCAGAGGCCTGCTGGTGAGAAGATCAGAACGGCACTCAAAATGAGAAAATTTACACACACACACACCTCTCGATCCTGCCCCCAAGCACAGTTGAAAGTGCAGAGCTGGCCACAGACATCCTAAAGCCAATATGGCAACTGCCAATGAAGGTGATAGAAATAGGAACTCTTGTCCCCCGAACATTTTCACGCCACATCACCAGAAGCCACCTTGTGGCCAAATCGCCCTAGACCAAGGATGGATGATAGTGTCTTATCAAATGCAGCCATAAGCGGGAAGACTTCATTAGGGTGAAAACAGCCTTTTCGCTGCAAACGAATGAAAAACGCCTTCCAAAAGAAATGATTCACGAGACACCGGCTAAAGCAGGTGACAGACCTCTTTCCAGACAGGCAGGCAGATCCCGACGGCGCCGCACTGCACCGCCGTGTCCAGATCACGGCACCAGGCGTCCGGCCCATTGCTGCACACCGCTGCGTACGGGGGAACGGCAAGGGAGCTCCCTGCACCAAACACACGAGGAGCAATTCCCGTTCAGTAGGACCTGTAGATCACCGCTTTCCAAACCGATGTGCAGCGTCCTGCAGAAAAGTCCCTGGGCCTACCACGGTATTTTTCAATTGGGGTCAGACAATTAAATAGCAATTTACAATTAAATACAAACAATTCGGCGTGTACACAATCGTCTGCCTTCATGAATCCACTGCTGGATGGAGGGCACAGTAACTTTTGGTTCAGTATGCCGCAAAGATTGAGCAAGCTGGAGCGTGTTATGGAATTAAAAGAAGGTTGGAGAAGCGTTGTAGCGGATTATGGCGAAAAGGGCCATTAAATCGGTAACTACTAAGGTCACTCCAGCACACAAGGGGATGGATGGATGGGGGCATACAGAATCATGCAGCCACCATTAGTCGTCGTGGCAGTGGTCAATACCAAGTAAATCTGGGGCAGGGAGTGAAAGCTGCCGTGCTATAAATATATTAGTTAGCGGAATTGAAATTGCAAACCCGAGGTCACCCATGCGATCTCCTAGTGCGGTAACAAGCAATGGGCACAACATTCCCTAACCACCACCGCCCTGTCCACCCAGTCAAAATCGGCAGGTCGCGTTTGGTTGGGGGGGGGGGGGTACAAGTGATGGCAAGCGTTAACTTTTCCAAAAGCCTCGCCAGCATTAAAGAGTAGGCAACAAAACCATCCACACCATGTCGAGAGCAAGCAACAAGCTTGTAATCTTATACACACACACATCATAGTAGCCATCGGCCACACATTTCCTGCACAATTAGCCATTTAATTATAAAACGTCACTTGACCGCGATTTCAAACCCGAGATTTATCCTCTAAGTATCCCAGGTTGCCCTTACACAAAGGTTTTTTTAATGAATGTTCTGCATACAATCGTGTCGTGCACACATCTTGGGTTACTGACAACTACAGTTATCATTCACGTGAATAGCTGTCACAGTAACCAGCAGTACACTTTTCACTGTGGGGTGTGAAAACATTTACACTGCATGCAGCAACATTCATAAATCACACAATCCTTTTGGTAATCCACTGCTGGATCAATCAGCACTCCCCACGCCGGGTGCCGTTTGACCATACTTCACCATACTGGTCAGTAGGGGAGCAGGGGGGGGGGGGGGTGTAACAGTAGAGGGGGGGGGGTCAAGGTTCAAGACTCGCCACTGACGTTAGCCGTGTGGTCGGTTCGATCCCGGTCACCCAGGTTCAGAACACTGCGTCAACCACTGCGCCACCGCTCCCCCCCCCACACACAATAACCACAGAAACACCGCAATGCTAAGAGGTTATTCTATAGGCCAGTCGACTTTAGCGCGTTATATTAAAAATGTAAACGCAACGTTACGCAAGGCGACAATGTGGTTTGTGCAACCCACAATTACTACATATACTGTAGACATCGACACTGTACGTACAGTATTGCATCGTGCCCTATAAGAGACGTCCTAGGTAACGGCCGTTCGTTATTATACATACATATATTTATATTTTACAGCTAAAAAACAAATCTAAGAATATAGAGACGTAAACATCCAGGCCTCAAAATCAATTCAGCATTGCGCCGCGCTCATTTTTTTTCCCGAAAGAACATCGGAGCGCACCACGGCATTCAAAACCATCGGCCGTGCTCTATCCACTGCTGGATGAAGGCCGGGTGATCACGTCTCACGGAACCCTGCGAGCATTCGCTTTTATTTTTTTAAGTTTTGACCGAGCAGATTGTGCGTCGATTCCGATCGCTCCATCTCCCACCCCGGCTTGACAACAATCTGGGACACTTCGCTGGGCCGCAGCAATCCCAGTCTCACCTCACCCTCCCCAACAAACTCGCTCAGTCATCACCATCGCCCTTATAATCACCATCAAGCCGGCTAAATATAGCCACTACTTATACACTTACACAAGCACACACACACGCGGCAGCAGCAGCAGAGTTGTTGTTATTCGATAACGGAGGAAGAGCGATGCGTTTGGAGATGGGGGTGGGGGTAGTAAGAGACAAGATTGTGCAAGTTAAACCTTACCAGCATACGCCACGCAGAGGATTGCTGCAATGTGTAGGATGGCCATTGATGTTGGACTTGTCACCACAGACACCAGCCTTGAAATACGCGTATGTGGGAGTGTGTGCGTGGGAGTGTGCGCGTGGGAGTGTGTGCGTGAGAGAATGTGTGAGGGAGAGTGAGTTTAGAGCAGGTTGTGACCCAGCCCTTATGTACGCCTCCTAACCCACGTGGTTCCTTATCAGCATCAGCATCATCATCGTGATCCGCATGCATCATCTCCATCAACCCATCCAATCCACGCGTGGTAATGAATGATCTGTAATTTAAATACGTGATTGCAATCAATGGATTTCCAGTGATTTGTTCCGCTCAAATTAGTTTTTCTCATCGTCAGCCCCATGCTCATCAACCCATCCAATCCACGCGTGGTAATGAATGATCTGTAATTTAAATACGTGATTGCAATCAATGGATTTCCAGTGATGTGTTTTGCTCAAATTTGTTTTACTCGAATATAATGCGATAAAAAACGAAAATAAAGTAAAAGCTATATATTTTTGTATTCACAATTGAAATTCCACATTCCTATGGCGGGGTAGAATATCACTGGTAGGGCAAATTAAATAACGTAAGTAAAGAAATGTTAGCACATGCAAAGACCAGAAAATGCTTTCCTGCATATCATGACATGGCAGTTGTAGTTTCATATTAACATTCTACGTATACGTTTTATTTTATTTAGAATACAGTGCACAGCGATCATTGATATACAATTCATATTCGTGAATGTTTTGCTCCTACGTCATCGAATTCATGAAAATGAGAATTAACCGTGATTTCTGTACACTACAAACTTACAGAGTACTGTAGTGTAACACTCGCAGTCATTATCACTCTTCAATATTGTACTGTGGTTAGCAAGGTGCAGTCCAACAACTGTAATTATTGTGCTGTACTTCTGTGCTACCACACCTCCATATTGACCAACCGGCATTGACCAGTGTGGTGAAGTATGCTCGAATATCCCCCACGACCTGCACTCAATGATGAGGCCCTTTCCATCAGTCGATTGACAACAAGGCGTATGTACACACATTGCTGTTATTTAAGTGCAGTGATGTTACACTCTGTTGTACTATTTTGTTATGCGACTTTTTTCGCGTGATTTTCATGTTAGAAACAAACGTTAATTATTGTCGTCATCGTTGTACACACTTTAGCTGTCATTTTAAGTTAAGTGAATTCGGTTAGCTAAGGACTCATCCAGGAAGGCACGCTGATTTTATTTCATGAAAGTCCTGCTTTGGATTTTTTATTTTAACATGTTTTCAGCCTATGAACGATGGCCTGGGTTTATTATACATGTGGTACGAAATCAGACCACCAGGAGAAAACCCCGTACAGATGGAAATAGATGGCAATAAGTCGACGTGCTGTACTGCTTTCTCCTGGAGATCCAGGTTACAGCACCTCTACGCCCACAACATTTGTGCGTTGATCCATCAACCCCTGCTCTCTCCACACTGTATTTAAACATTTCCCTTTATAATGTCTGCAAATGTACTTTCTGTAAGGCACTACCAGTGTAGTGTTTATAAAGACGAGTAAACTTCTTAGGAGGCACACTGTTTATTGTAATTCCTTTTCCATACAGTTCTTAACACACAGAGGGGTATCCGGTCCCCTCACCCGATACCCTAAGGAGGTACAGCCTCCAGACTCAGCGTAACCTACACACAGGTCTCTTTGATACCTAAGGAGGTACAGCCTCCTTGCTTGGCGGGACTTGCATGTCTACCGCTAACCTCCTTGATACCTAAGGAGGTACAGCCTCCGGACTTGGCGGGACTTACACGTCTACCGCTATCCTAGCCTAGAGTCCTCCAGCTGGGACCAAGGGGAGGCTATCTGACCCACCGCTGGCCCGGTGGGTCCTGACCACTGGGTACGCCGAGCCTTAGCCCTCAGAAGGGCTGGAAGGCTGGTCCAGGGTCCTAGCTAGTCTTCAGCCCGGGCTTCGGTCTTCGTGTAGGGAGAGAACTCCCTGAGCTCTGCGTGGTCACCTTTCTTATACTCGTTTGTGGCCAGGTACAACCAATCCCACATTCCCACGTGGAACAGTCTGATTGGTTTTTACCAAACAGTGGCTACATCCACTTCACCTTGTCTGACCCCAACCGTTATGTACCCAGAGGTGACGCTGCACTGCCCCTTTCATACCTGGTGGCAATGCAGGTTATCGAACAGTGCGTAGTTAACACCTCAACACCAGCATCAAATTTGTGCGATGATTTTATAAATGCATTTCACGTAGTTTACGTGGATCATCGTTGACTGCATTCATCTGCAGTATGCCGTAGCATGTAAAAGTTGAGTATACTGAAGCATTTAGGTAGCATGGTCGTTCATTTATTGCTATTGAACGCCCGAGGCAATAAATTAATGACTTGCTCTAGCTTGGGCAGGTGAGGAGATTTTTTTCTGTGAATTTCAAGACTGGGCAGGCTAATCTCTGTTACGCAGAAAGTGCGGGGTTTCAAAAAAATGCCATGGCACTTTTTTTGAAATCACCAAACTCTGGTGGTGGTGTAGTGGTGACTGACCATTTTCCCACAGTCGCCGAAGTTTATATTCTCGCGTATGGCACAACATATGGTCAGGAGCTAAATGGCAATAGTCGAGCTCTGCTAGCCACGAGAAAGCTTTCGAAGAGAGTTTGTGTTTGTTTGGCTATTCCTACTCTTTGGTTCTTTCGGTAAAGTCACGTCGGTAGAAAAAATATAATAATATATCACGACGTTTTGATCGCAACACAAGCGGTCGTCCACAGGGGGAAAAAATAATCCAGCAGTGGAACTGCTGAACCAGCGAGAGAGCTGTTACAACAAGGAGGTTATTTATGTGGCGATGGGCAAGCAAGCGGGGTCTGAGCTGGAAAAGAATTCCATCCCCGGACCCAACCACGTCAGTTGTGTTAATGGGGGGGATTAGGGAGATAGATTAGCATGAAATGAGCTTCCGCCGCCGCATAAGAGTACCGTCGCATATGCGCATAACAGCAGTGTTAATGGGAGATTAGCACTGTTGATGGGAGAGGTTAGGCATGGAGATTAGGGGATTAGCAAGTTAATGTCATGTCTATGTGTGACACAAGCTGCGACACTGCCAACTGCACTGTGAGGCAAGCGCATCCACGCAAGAGAACCACCGCAACGGTGGTCGTGCCAATGAGACACACAGCCCATCATACAGCCAGAACCATCGATACATCGAGGCTAAGGGAGCAGAGGTGGCCATGTTAGTGAGACCACAGTAGAGGCACCCAACAGGGCAATGCAACTCAGAGTCGGAGATAACAGCCAAACGGCAGGGAAGAATGGAAGCACCACAGAAAGTTACGACTTTGCTTGGTTAATAACGCCCTTCCAATGATTGCTCAGCTTATACCCATCTTCTCCGTTGAAATTGTCTCCGTGTTTATATATCTGGATGGCTTCATGGACATATCTTTGATGGTAGCCCAAAGGTTTGCAGAGTACCTTGGTCTCGGAAAAAACAATATCACGCGAGCCTACTGCGTAATAACAATTATCAGCCACTGCAGAGGTAATGGTTCTGCCATGTTTCAAATCTGCCTTGTGTTCGCGAACACGGTCCGAGACATGTCGTTTCACTTCCCCAATGTAACTGCTGTCGCAGACACAACTTAGTTTGTAGACCCCAGGGTATTGAATGACAGGAATGACATCCTTCACAGATGGGATCAAATCACGGATTTTGTGTACTGTATTGAATCGGACCTGGATCTTGTGTTTGTTTAAGATTTTGGAAATATTTTTTGTAACACCTGCTTTGTATGGCAAGGTGATGGTTTTGATTGGGTCCTCAGATGGTTGTCTCCCCATGGTTGGGGATACAGCTTTGCGGATTGTGCGGTCTGAGTATCCATTCATCTTGAGGGCTTGGTGTACGTGCTCCAGTTCACTGGCTAGGTGGCGCTGGTCGGAGATGCAGCTGGCCCTATGGTGTAGTGTTTAGATGAGGGAGTTCTTCTGGGCCGGATGGTGGTGGGAGTGAGGCTTTAGATAGGAATCTGTCTGGGTGGCTTTCCTGTAGACAGAATGTCCCAATGAGCCATCAGGCCTCTTCTCGATCAAAACATCCAGGAATGTTAGCTTGCCATAATTTTCCACTTCCATGGTGAATTTGATGGATGGGTGTATGGAATTGATGTGGTTTAAAAACTGGTTCAGTGCTGGCTGACCATGTGGCCAGATGATGAAAGTGTCATCTTCGTATCTCTTCCACAGGAAAGGACGTATGGTGGATGTCAGGATGGCATCTGTTTCAAATTTCTCCATGAAAACATTTGCTACCACTGGCGATAAGGCAGATTTGAAACACGGCGGAACCAATACCTCTGCAGTGGCTGATCATTGTTATAACGCAGTGGGCTCACACGATATTGTCATAACTTGGCGTAACTTGCTGTGGTGCTTTTATTTTTTCCTGCCGTTTGGCTGTTATCTCCGACTCTAAGTTGCATTGCCCTTTTAGGTGCCTCTGCATTAACAGGCTGTGGTCTCACTAACATGGCCACCTCTGCTCCCTTAGCCTCGATGTATCGATGGTTCTGGCTGTGTGATGGGCTTTGTGTCTCACTGGCGCGACCACCGTTGCGGTGGTTCTCTTGCGTGGATGCGCTTGCCTCACAGTGCAGTTGGCAGTGCCGCAGCTTGTGTCACACATAGACATGACATTAACTTGCTAATCCCCTAATCTCCCTGCCTAACCTCTCCCATCAACAGTGCTAATCTCCCATTAACACTGCTGTTGTGCGCATATGCGACGGTACTCTTATGCCGCGACGGAAGCTCATTTCATGCTAATCTATCTCCCTAATCCCCCCCATTAACACAACTGACGTGCTTGGGTCCGGGGATGGAATTCCTTTCCAGCTCAGACCCCGCTTGCTTGCCCATCGCCACATAAATAACCTCCTTGTTGTAACAGCTCTCTCACTGGTTCAGCAGTTCCACTACTGGATTGTTTTTTCCGCCTGAGGACGACCACTTGTGTTGCAATCGAAACGTCGTGATATTTTATTTTTTGGTTTATTTGATTTTTCTACCTACGTGACTTTACCGAAATAACCAAAGAGTATGTATTCCTGCAGTCACGAAAGCTTCAAATCAAGACTGGCTATTTTTCCCTTGAC